AGTTTGTGCAACAGCATGAACTCTACTCGGCCTCGAAATTTCCATAAGCTGACAGCTTGCTTTATCTACACCAACACACAAGCGCACTAGACCTCTCTCGCAGCAGCTGCACGTTATACAGTTAAATGTGACATCTATCCCTTACAACACTTTATTATTTCATTCATAAAACCCAGTTATTATCAGTCTTCATCTTTACGTATTCCCAATGTCTACAGATCCCTTGCCTACAGGAATAATAACTATATACGGTATTATGCATACTGCTTTAGGAACATTATGTCTTTCACCTTTTAACAGTCCTCACACTTCGGTGCTAAAGCTGCGTGTGTTATATCCTGTGAGTACTTGCTCTTGTACAGCATTGCACAGTTATTATTAGAGTGAGGGGGTCAGAGCGCCATCCTTTAACAAAACAAAGGTTAGTAAATGCTACCCTGTTTGATGCTGATTACTAAGTACATACGGCGACAGCGTTCTAACTGCGTCAGTGACAACGTCTAATAACCCTAATGATGCTTAGAACATTTTGTAGCCATCGGGAACCAGCGATGGAATCACACCTGCAACCAGCGACATGGAAAAGGAAAACCCAGACAACAACACGAGCAAGTTATCCGTTACTACCTTGACAGCCCCCTGCCTTTGCTGCGCCTCTGGAAGACCGAAGCAAAGAATCACCTACAATATGTGATTTTTTGTAAAACTGTTTATTCGGAGGACTTTCCCGAGTCAGATAACACTTCTTAGCGCGATTTTACCATGAAACATTCTACCTCAAGTTCATGCGTTGGTTTATACAGTCTAATTCCACATCAAAACCTCAGTGTATATAGATAAACCCGGCTCACTGGCGCGCAAGAAACTAAATATAAAGCGAAAACAAATGAGAACAGCACCGCAAAGGAAATGATGGAGAGGTAAGAATTTTGATGATAGGAAAATGTCAGAGGCCGCGATACGGGGTCTCAGCGTGTGGGTGTTTAGACAAATTAGTTAACCCCATGGTAAGACAGGGCACGCCTGGCCCCGTGCCATTAACCCTGCCCCCCCTTCCCTTGCCCCCGCGCTAAGGGATCGCGTCATGACATGGGTTCTTAATGGAACGACATATGGAGGGGTGCCAGTTGGTTTAGGCTGGGCCGGGCGCCGCTCGCCAGGGCCTGCAGCCCCCGCGCCAGGATCCGGTTTGGGGGCTTTCTTGCGAGGCTCCGCTGTCTGACTGCTCGCCGCGTCTGTCTGTATGCTCCGCCTTCTCTGTGCTTCTTTATCCGCTTGTCAGTCTCTTTCCTTTCTCTCTCTCTCTCTCTCTCTCTCTCTCTTTCTTCCTCACTCTCTTTCTCTGTTTCTCCCTCTCAGTCTCTTTCTCTTTTACTTTCTCCCTCTGGCTTTATCTTTATCTCTTCCTCTCCCTTTCGCTATCGATCTCTCTCTCTTTGTTTCTTGTGCTCCCTTTCTTTCGCCTCCACTCTCATTCTCTCGCTTTCTCCCTCTCCTTTCCTTTCTCTTTCTCTCTCGCTCTCTCCCGGTCTTTCTCGTTCTCTCCTTTGCTCTCTCCCTCTCTCTTTCTCTCACTCACTATTTCTTTCTCTCGCTTTCTCCCTCTCCTTCTTTCCTTTCTCTTTCTCTCTCGCTCTTTTTCGTTCT